GATGTGTAAAATCGTCAGTATCTCAAACTACTATCAGGCTGCTGAAGTTCGCTTCAGAGAAAGTTGGCACTATATGCTTTAATAGCCTCAGTATGGTCGGGGGTGTGTCTAGGGTTGCGGCTGGTCACCCTTCCCTTGCACCTCGCGAAATGCCCCCATGCAACCAAGCATCTTGAATAACCTCCGCTGAGGAAGCCCTACTCACTGCTTTCTCGTGGCAGAGGTGTTTTTCCACCAAATTGAGAGTACAAAAAGCCGACATCCGAGTAGAGTTCACCTACGGGAGTTAGTCAAACCCCTGATTCCAAAACAACCAAGAGGAGACGTAAGAACCACGCACACAACTTCCTGGTTGTGACAGTGGTCATCGGCTCGATTGGGCATTGAGGTGTATTGTGCACCTTGGATATTTGATCCCGTCCAAAGGGCGTCTGATCCGATTAACTGGACACCGGCCCCTAGTGGATTGCGGTTTTCACACACCGACCCGCTGCCTTGCGGGTCATGCCTTTTCTAGCCAAAGGCTCCGATTGTGGATTCCTCAAGAAAATTCACCTGCCTTGGTCTGGGCAAACTGGCAGTATTCCGCCCACATACAAATCATGGAACGTTTTTCTTTTTCATAAAGATTATTGTATCATGATTTGCTTGGCACCCAGTCTGGTTATAGACGTGTGAAAAATATATATATGCTGTAATGCAGATTCGTGTAAGCCATGGAACATTGGCTCTTGTATATAAATAGAGAACGATTCATTGACGTACTCGTTGCCAAGAGCGAAACACTGCTACTGGGCGAATGACATCGAAGTACTAAATAGGTTACCAAATTTAGTTTACGTTTCAGCCACAGTTACTTGCCAGTATTGGTGCAGGGTAATGGATGTATATTTAAACTCCCTGTCTTACAGACCTCATCATCGTTCACATTCTTCCTTTTATCCTGTCCACCATAAAGTCAGAAAGCATTGTACTCAGGTATGGCTCATCAATAGTTTTCGACAATCGTCAAGTCCGGGACTTTCACATTGGACCTTTCGCAAAGACAAATATATATTAGCGATTCTGTTTGGTCCGAAACTTAACCGGTTGACACAGTAGTAACACATATGGTTTTTATTCGGAGGGCCTAAAATTCAGCTCGAGGAGCAGGCGGTGGCTAAGCAGTGCTGACAAGCTCTAGAAGGTTCGAGATTCGAATATGGTGCTTCCTGAGTATATGGTTGACTAAATGAGCTGAGAACTGTACATGAACATTAAGGTTGAAGGACGTCAGTCCAAACCAATCCCCTGTTTTACAATGATCCACGATCGGAAGTTGGTCATTTGGACGCAATTAAGTCGTATCGATTATCGCCTTCTTTGTAGCTGTCAAAGTTTAACACTCGAAATACACCGGCTTGTTTGTGAACCAAGTACACGAACTACTCCGCAAACGAGAAATTAAGTAATACAATCCTAATCAGTAGAGTGTATTCTCAATTGACGGCATCCTTCCGACCAGCTCATGATTTTCGGAAGGATGAGCATGACCATCATCATCATCATCATTATCATCATCATCAGCGTCATCATCATGTTCATCATCAGCAGCAGCAGCAACATCATCAGCATCATCATCAGCATCATCAGCTTCATCATCATCATCAGCAGCAGCAGCATCATCATTATCATCATCATCATCATAATCATCATCACAATCATCATCATCATCAACAGCATCAGCACCATCATCATCGTCATCATCATCATCATCAGCAGCAGCAGCAGCAGCATCAGCGTCATCATCATCATCATCCGAATCATCATCATCATCATCATCATCATCATCATCCGAGTTATCATCTGCTTCTTTGTCTTTGTCCTAATCTCTCGTTCATCACTTTGCATTTTTGAATTTCCCATAATTACATTCCTTTATGATTTTAGCCCTGTCAGAATTTTGCATTGTGGCACTTTAAAAACGATTGTTTATTTACTTTTAGTAAAGCTCGAATGAATAATTGAACAGATAAATGAATTCACCAATCTGTCACTTAGATCAGGAACCAACGAGCTTTTTCCGGTTTCGCACACGTTCATCATTTGGTAAACAACCTCCATTTTGAGATAGCCCTTTACAGGATACTCGCCTACGTGCCCCTATGAAATTTTCGGCATGCGTATAGCAAAACCGACTATTGCTTTATAATGAAATGGGGGCTTGGGAAGTGCAAATCTGTCACCCACCGACAATTCTGATTTAGAATTTATAAATACACTCTCTTAGCCACGCGATTTGAGGCCGATTCGGTGAGGGAAATCGCCAAGCACTTTTGCGTGAGTAGGACCCGTATTTTTGACCGCGATGCATCCCTTACAGTGAACCTCTTACTGAATAACGATGTTGTACCACATATAAGCTGAATATCGTCAGTTCCTGATACTTTATGTCACTAACGTCGGCTGAGCGGTATGTGTTGGGGAGTAGTTTCACAGGATTACGTGTAGTTGATGGACAGCATTTAAAGTGAGAGATCCGGGAAAACACACGTACGCAAGCACCGGCAGATCGAGATATTGATTCAAGCAGGAGAACCGAACAAATTCTGATTGCAAATCATCATTCTCATGCTTCTCTNCCCCCCCCCCCCCCGGCCACCACCACCACCACCAGGGTATACCATAATCATTTACTATTCGATTCCCGAGTGTTTTTAACAGAGCCTCAGTCTCGACAGTCAAACTATATTCTCTGCCCTATGGATTTCATTCCGATTTTCACTGTCCACATTGCCCCTCACTAGAGTTTTGTACTCACTCAGTCTCTCTGTCTCGTGTTGTCCATCTTTCTGTTTATCTTTCCGCTTGTTTGTCTTTTTGTCTTATCAACTTCAGGACTCCTCAATCCAGTCGTTCATTGTGTGTGATGGTTGCAAATCTATCGAATAAAGGTTGACCGAAAATGTGATGAATATTTCATCAGGATGAGCACAACCCGCGTCGACCGAGAGCCGCAGTGGCCCCATTTTGTGCAACCGATAGTCCGTATTCTCTTTACCACTTTTTATGCACTAGTCGTTGAATCTGCTCTTGAGTGGTCCGCTGGTAGTTATCTGCACAGTAATATCTACGTACACACACATACACACACGTGTAGGGGCACAATCTCCTGACCCAGTACTCATGCCAAAGGGCGAAGGACCAAGCAGAACAGGAATTGAAGAAAGGAAGGGAGGGAGGAATGCATGGAGGGTTGAAGGAGGGAGAGTGGTAGACTCCGCACTTACGCATAGCAGATGCACCGTGTGCAAACTGATGCTTCATTTCCCACCCTAAACTTCCTCATCCACCCACATCCGATCGAATTAGGTAGATGCGACCAAAAAGCGTTCGTCCACAAGCACATATGAACCGTGTGTACTCATTTCATTCGGGGGTGAGGGGTGAGGGGGTGGGTGGGTAAAGCTCACCTCATCCGTGTGACAGTTTTCTTTGCTACCCACTCCGCGTTCCGGTTCAAGTAACAAGGCGCCGGTCAGACGATTGTCTCGAATTCGAGACAATGTGCCCAAATGCACGGGAAACAGATCCCCTGTCCGGGGGCTGGTGGACACGACCACAGCCGAAGCGGACGATGAAGAGGCAGCCGTGTTGAACAAAAAAGGTAATTTGTGTTGATCATAGGATGACGACCCTTCGACCAATTCGCCGGATCCACTTTCAGAATGCAATGGTTCCGAGCCGCCACTACGCATATCTGCATAGGACAACGAAGATTGGGTGGGTGAACAAAACAGACGAGGTAAATTGAGCATCATAACTTGTTAATGAAAAATCTACGGATATCTTACTGTCACTACTGATATTCCTGCTTCCAGTAAACAATGAATTCGATAACACTTATTTGTTATTTGTTATATATTTACTTCCTTTTATGGAATATTTAGTGATACAATTTTCGGGAAGGGGTAAGCGGCCAATCAAAGGGCTGTCATAGCATACAAATGGGGAAAGTCAGGAGGGATTCGAACATACGTCCTCCAGGGTGATAATTTGGTAACTTTACCAGCGGATCACCACCACCCATACTACTAATAACAGTGGTTATAATATAAACTGCAATCCATTCCACAAGAATGCCGGTGGCGGTGTTTGATCGCGCGATCACCGGAGCGATGTGGCGGTATCCAACATTGCTTAGACGGTGGTGAATTGGACGAAATGATGGGTTATCATAACAAATCCGGAAATGGTAAGTTGAGGAATTCGTATATCTTTTACTTGACGGTTAAGTCGACTGCTCACTACACATCAGTTTTTTGGTACGAGGGAAACACTCGCCTGGGCTATGGTTAGTCGAACTGGATATACAGATTTTACTGATTGGTACATATCCGATGTCCAGATAGGTTCTTTCGAGCATCTGAAACCCTGTGTTGTAAAATTTACTGATCCTCTAATGACCCCCGCTTACTGTGCCTATTGGCCTAGTACAGAACACGGTCGTCGAGAGAACTGGTTTGCGAACGTACTTATGCAAATGTTCACAACGAAACTGTACCTATAATTTTTGTCGCCGTTAAGTCTTTGTTGATCATCCGGTTCCTCCACGTCTGAGTTGAACTAAAAGTCACTTCTTCCTTGCGCCTCCACTCATTTTGTCCAACTGGCTGACTCAACTTTTCACAGTACCCCTCAGTGCTGAGTATCCTTGAATGGTATAGCTCAGTCATTTGCTGTACCAGTTATAATTCAGTTCAAGCAAACAGTGACCGCCCACTTTTGTACATTGGTTCTGTTTGATGTCATCCGGTTATCAATCCCGTCACCACATAGAGGAACCAAACGCACTTTACTTACGATTTGGTCAAACTAATTTTTCCTAGCAAATGTGCTCTTGATGGTTTGAAATGCTATCTTGGGGTGCAAGTAAAGCACCCCAAGATAACAATGAATATGGCCCAGTGATTGCAAAAGATACAGACACTTCCGGATTGGAACACAACACTCACATATAATTCCTCATTTTCTGAACTTCGGAACCGTTCCACCCATTTGCGAAAACTGTTTGACTCGCAGAGTGGGGAGGGGGGATACCGTTCCTTGGGAGTAAACTCACCTCACCAATAGTCCCCAGGCATTTTTAAGAGGTTCACCTCCTGACTGTGGGCTGGCTAGTTCGCACTCTTGATGTTCCGGTGCAGTAACTGCATTTTAGTGGAAGAAGCTTCAAGTATGAACACATTGTCGTGTTGGAAAACCGTAGTTCCCAACAGAATTTCGGGAATCACGCGGAAAAGAAACTACCTCAAGATTTTGAAGTAAGATTGATCTGCTAGGTTCCTATGAAAAACTCTCATCTAAGACCTTCAGATACTAAAGATGGCGCCCCTAACCACGATAGAGCCCCGCAGTAGGCCTGAAGAAGGAAAGTTAACCTACTCTTGCGCGGGTCATACCAGCACTACACGAGTCCAGCTGGACCGTCGTGTTTAAACTTCTTCACTTCGCGGAATATAACACATTTTCTATTCGGCAGTTTAGTGGATGGAACTTTTGAACAATACTATAGTAGATTTTCGATATGACGATATTTTGATCATGGTACCGATCTTAAACTTGAAGTTTGTTACAATCTGTGACATTCATTGTATGCATTATTGATATGTTTTTAGCCCATTGACCCTGTAAATTGTGTTCACACAATTGTAGTCAGCCAGTTCTAGTTCAGTGACTTGCGTTATTCACAAACCATGGGCGTACAGTTATAAAAATCTGTGATAACGCTGGAAAATGGCTAGTTCAGTGGAGTTTTTGCAGGAACTAATAAAATAACAACAATAAGCATAGTTTGCGATTTTGATTCAGCGGCTTTCTGTGCAGCAACATTCAGCTAACTCAAACATTTCTACAGTCGAAACTCTGTTTCAAGATGTCAATGTATTTCATTATGAGCCTGGTGTTACTGGTGTTACTTTTGAGTCATGGTATCACAGATACGAAGGTGTCCTGGAAATTGATGGATCCTCTCTTAACTATTCCGCTCGTCTTCGACTTATACTTCGCAAATTGGACCCTGTAGAATATGAAAAATACTATGATCTTATCTTGCCCAAACATCTAAGGGACCTCGACTTGGTCACACACCTGAGTGCAATTTTGTGTGAAAGACCATCTTTATTCAATATGCCGTATCAATGCCTAAAAATTTATAATGCGGTTGAGGAAGGTTTTTCACCTACTCCAAACGTGTTAATCGTGAATGCGAGCGCTTCGAACGCAAAGGCCTCAAAGATGATCAGGCCAAAACTATTATTTTTTTCTGTGGTCTCCACCACTTCCTCCCACCCCATTCCACCAGAAGTGACATTCGCACACGGTTACTACCGAAACTCGAAACTGACAGAAAATTTATCTTAAAACAAGTTATTGTTGAATACTGGCGTCTAATAAATTTAAAACACGATGACAAGATGATCTAACAAACAGACGACCTAACGGTTACTGACGTGAATGCATTAACCATATTCAGAAGACTGCACGTCAGACTTCACAGCGCTTGGTGGCACTGTGAACAGCGGTATTTCGGTCAATTTTTATGCATACAGACAACATAAGTGCGAAATCTGTGATGTGGTTGGTCATAAAGAAACCATCTGTCACCACCTTCCTGAACCAAAACCGTTCAATTCTGAAAGCAACCGACAACGCAGTTCATCAAATCTCAAATTCGCCTTGAACGACCCCAATTTCAAATGTCATCGAAAGTACATAAAATTTGTATCAATAATCAAACAGTCAAATTACAAGTGGATACAGCCTTTGACGTGCCCATCACCTCCGGAAATACGTGGAATTTACTGGGAAGGCCAGTTGCTCGGGTGGCATTCGGGGAAGAAATACCATTTATCGGTGAGTTTAGTTGTGATTTTTCATTTCGTGATTATCGTTCCCGCAGCCCTGTAAATCGTGTTCACACAAATGCAGCCAGCTCGTTCCAGTTCAGTGACTTGCGTTCTTCCGTTTAGCAGCACGCTCAAATGCAAGTGTATTGGTCACTGTCGATGGGGAACATCCATCAAACTTCGACTCTGCTCACTATCCCCTGTTCGTTCAGATAGCTAAACACTGATGAAGCACTATGGAATCAAGTTTTGCTCATCGTTAATGCGTATCTGCCAACCTCCCCGGGTTTGAACCCGTAACCGCTCGCGTGGAAAGCGTGTGTGTTGCTACTGTGTCAAGCGCGTCACACCTAGGTTGACTACTTGTACCGATTCGACTTTACTCAGAGGCGTTTCTCAAAGATAGACACATATAATAGACTCAAAAACTCTTACATTAAATTCTCCAATCACATTCTACACGACCCTCTTCATCCATTGCATCTTCATTCATATAGACTTATCGTCCTCATCCGTCCACATACTCCTGCTTTCAGCATCTGCCTAGTCATGGTAACATTTACCCGAATTCCATTGTACCCTATCTGGCCCGATGCCTAGCCAACAAGAAACATGTCGTTATTGAATCACGTCAGAATCTCTCTACTTAAACCAAAGTTTGGTGACGGTTCTCACATTACGTGTTCTATGAAGTTGTATATTTTATTCGGCGTGATGATCGGTGTAAATTTTTAACTGAAATGCAAGCATATGAGATTACCCAAGTTATGCAAATATCAATCTATTTTTAGACAGTATTCAGAAAATCTAAGCATCCAGCGGAACTGAAAATCAATAAGTTGAATTTTCCAGACTAACTTTGTTGAATCTTTTGAGAGAGAGAGAAGAGGTGAAAACCGAAATCCATCTTGCCTTTATCGCCCATGAATTTGTCGCACTGTCGAGTAAACAAGGACCCACTAAACGGATCAAGTTTAACTCAGACTGCAGCATCCATTTGCACCAAACCTATCGAGGACGAGTAACCCTGTTGTGTATAGTATAATTCGTGCGACAAGAAACGTAATTTAGCTATTTCGAGCGAAACTCATGCAACCGTCGGTTCATTG